GCTCCCTGCCACTGGAGTGCGGCTTAGGGTAGAATACTCGGAGGAAGATGTCCTTGTTGATGTGAAACTGGGAGACAGCCTTAGGGAGAAAAGCCGGGTGAGGTCTGAGCCAAACCTTGTCCTTATGGAATACAGTGTAAGGGGGCTCTGGTGTAAGAGCCCTGAGCTCCAACACTCTCCAACCTGAGGTTATCACCACCAGAAACGCCACCTTGTATGAGAGAGAAAGCAGGGAGCACATTGCCAGTGGCTCAAATGGTGGATCCCTTAGTCTGGAAAGGACTAGCTTAAGATCCCAAGCCAGGATAGGCTGTCGTACTTGCAGGTACAGTCTGTTGAGACCTTTAAGGAAATGGCTGACCACTGGATTCACGAAGACTGAGTAGCCATCTGCGCCCGGATGGAAGGCGGAGATGGCAGCCAAGTGAACCCTTGTTGACGACAGGGACAGTGCCTGCTGCTTCAGATGGAGGAAGTAGTCCAGTGTAAATGTCACCGAGGCGAGCGTTGGAGACTGACGGTGCTGCTCCGACCAGATGGAGAACCAGCTCCACTTGGCAAGGTACGTTACCCTTGTGGAAGGCTTTCAACTGCCAAGAAGAACTTGGCTGAGTTGATCAGAGCAGGACAGCTCCACCGCGTTCAGCCATGGAGCTTCCATGCTGTGAGGTGGAGCAACTTGAGGTTCAGGTGTTGGAAGCAGCCTTGATCCTGCATGATTAGGTCCAGAACAAGTGGTAGGGTGACCGGAGTTGCCACAGACATTTCCAGGAGCGATGTGAGCCAGTGCGGGCGTGGCCAGGCTGGAGCTATCAATATCACTAGGGCTCGGTCCCTGTGGATCTTGAGGAGCACCTTGTGAACGAGAGGAACTGGTGGGAATGCGTATAGGAGATGGCCTCCCCATGGAAGTAGGAATGGATCCGCGATGGAGCCTGGGCTGTGATTCAGGAAGGAGCAGAATAGCTGACACTTCCTGTTGCATTGTGTGGCAAACAGGTCTATTTGGGGAAAGGCCCAGAGTTGGAAGATTGATTTCACTATGTCTGACTGGAGGGACCACTCGTGGCCATGAAAAGAGTGGCTGAGACTGTCCGCCAGCTCGTTCTGTATCCCAGGGAGATATGATGCTTGCAGGTGTATCGAGTGCTCTACACAGAAGTCCCACAGCATGAGGACTTCCTAGCACAGGGGAGATGAGCATGCAGCCCCCTGTTTGTTGATATAAAACATTGCCATGGTGTTGTCTGTGAGGACTGATACACATCTCCCTGATATATGGACTCTGAAAGTCTGGCACACCAGGTGCACCACTCTCAGTTCTCTGACATTGATATGCAGAGCGAGGTCTGCCTGAGACCAGAGGCCTTGCGTCCTGAGGTCTCCCAAATGTGCCCCCAATCCCAGATCTGACGCATCTGTCTCTAATGAGAAGGTTGGCTGGGGGCCGGTGAAGGGGACTCCTGCACATACTACCTGTGGGTCGAGCCACCACAGGAGGGAGTCTAGTATTGAGTGAGGCAGGGTTACGATGCTGTCCAAAGCATCCCGAGTTGGTCGATATACTGATGCTAGCCATGACTGGAGTGGGCGAAGCCTGAGTCTGGCATGCTGTACTACGTAGGTACAAGCGACCATGTGCCCCAGAAGTTTCAGGCAATTCCTTGTTGTAGTGGTGGGGAACTGCCTGAGGCCCCATATGTTGTCGCCCAGTGACCGAAATCTGGCTTCTGGGAGGTATACCCTGGCTCGAGTTGAGCCTAGCACTGCCCCTATAAACTCTTATCCTCTGCACCAGGGACAGTGTCGATTTGGCCTCATTTAGAAGGAGACCCAGTTCGACGAACATCCTTCTTATGAAGCCGACCTGCTCTTCCACTTGAGGTCTGGAGTGGCCTTTGATCAGCCAGTCGTCGAGGTACGGGAACACCTGTACCTGCAGCTTGTGCAGGAACGCCGCGATAACTGCCATGCACTTAGTGAACCCCCGAGGTGCTGCTGACAGGCCAGATGGTTGGACAGTAAACTGATAGTGGCTGTTGTTCACCACAAACCTGAGGTATCTTCTGTGGGGTGGAATTATCGCTATGTGAAAGTCTGCATCCTTCAAGTTTAGGGCGCCATACCAGTCTCCTGGATCTAATGAGGGAATAATGGAGGCCAAAGAGACCACGCGGAACCTGAGTTTCTTGACGAACTTGTTGAGTTCCCGCAGAGCCTCATTACAACCTCCATTGCCATAGTACGTGAGGCTGCATCCACTGCATCCAATGCCACCTGCAGGGAAGCTCGGGAGACCAGCTTTTCCTCCTCCACCAGCGCCGAGAACTCTATACGGGAGTCCTGAGGCAGTAACTCTGCAAACTTGGCCATCGCAATGCAGGTATTGTGTGCGTATCTGCTCACGATGGCCTGTTGATTAGCAATGCGGAGCTGTAGTCCCCCAGCGAAATAGACCTTCCGGCCTCCCTGTTTTTAGAGGAGGGTTCCTGGAAGCCCTGGCGCTCTTGCTGATTGGCCACATCAACCACGAGGGAGTCAGGGGGTGGGTGGGTGTATAAGTGTTCGTATCCCTTAGAAGGGACAAAGTACCTCCTCTCATTCCTCTTGGCTGTAGGGGCCAGAGATGCAAGGGTCTGCCATAGGGTCTTTGTTGTCTCTGAAATCCTCCTTATTAAGGACAAGGCGATGTGAGGGGGACTGGAGGGTGCAAGGATGTCAACAACCGGGTTGGATTCCTCCACAACCTCCTCTGCCTGTATGCCCAGGTTCTGGGCAGCACAACGTAGGAGCTGCTGAAGGACCCTGATATCCTCCAGGGCTGGGGCCGTTGCTGTCCCTGCCACCGCTTCATCTGGGGAGGATGAGGAGGAGAGGCCTGGCAGCGGGCCCTGCTCACTCCCTTCAGCGCCCCGTGGGTCTCGCGCCACACGGTATTCTGGAGCTCATGGTGCTGGGCCCACTGGCGGCGGAAAAATCACTCCTATCTGAGTGATAGGATTCCACCTCCAACTCTGAGGCCTCCGAGTAGGAGGACCCCAGAGGAGCGGTACTCTGGGAGAGTTGTGCTGGAGATAGGGATTGGCGCGCCATCATTCCTGGTTTGCCCCTTGATTGGACGTGGGGCTGCGCAGTCATCAGCGACTTGTCTCCTCTGTGAGGAGGATGGCGCCGTGAGGTGTATAAGGTCCCTGTCTGCCTCGAATGCCTCCGGAGTTGAGGGGAGCTGGAGGTGATCACCTTGGCTTTCCGGGGACCGTTGAGGGTTCGGACGCGACTGAACCCCAGACGGGGCAGGAGTCGACAAGATCCTGGAAGGCTGGAGAGACGAAGCGGCCTGGCTCGAGATGTGCTTCAATGCTGAAGGTCCCTTGGTCTTTAAAGGGTGAGAGCAACCCCTATCCGGCCTTTTCTTCTTTTGTGGCACCGGGGACTGAGAACGGTGCCAAACCGCAGACAGTTTCTTATGTGCGGAGCCGTGGCGGTGCCGGGAGTCCTTAGAGTCCTTGCTCAGCACCGGCTCACGCACCGTCGGTGCCGGAGCACTTTGGACTGACATGGAAGTGCTCGGCGTGGGTTCTGCGGACCCCGGGTCAGAATGTGGTCGAAGTGCCGCTTCCATTAGGAGGACCTTGAGTCTTTGGTCCCTGTCTTCAAGGGTGCTAGGGTGAAAAAACCCTTGCAGATCCTGCCCCTGTCCTTTTGGTGGCTCTCCCCGAGGCACCATAGACAAGAAGAGTGTGGGTCACTCTTCGGCATAAACTTGCCACAGTCCTCACAGAGTTTGAACCCTGGGGACCAGGGCATACCCCAGAACTGGGGGGAAATGTTGTTGGGGGGGACCCCCAAGAGACAACAACTACAACTACTAACTAGGACTAATAGCTAACAAACTATTTACAACTATTTAAGAAAGAAGAAAAGTGAAGAGGACACTGCCGAAAGCACTTGCAAAGCAAGAGCGACAGTTGTTCCAGCTAGCCGTCACCAGCCGTAAGAAGGAACTGAGGGGGTGGGGGGTTGGCAGGGCTCTATATTGGGTGCCATAAAGGCGCGACTCCAGGGGGCGCCCAGGCTGACTCTACGGATGCTACTAAGGGAAAAATCTTCCGGCTGGCGTGCACGCAGCGCGCACACACCTGATTGGAATGGACATGAACAAGCACTCAAAGAAGAACTATAATTTGTCTGTAGTGTCCTAGCTCTTTCAGTTACACTGGGACAGGAAATACTTTTCGGGAAAAGAGCTGACATGTCTGAAGGAGGAACAACAAAGCCACATGCTTTAAGTAGGTAATATACTTGAAGCTTTGTTGGTAAATGTCCTCTATCCATCAAAATTCCCTCCAGTCAAGGCTTTCTTCTAGCAAGCAGGGAAGGACCACCTAGGGTGATGAGATGAAGAAAATATCGGCACACCGGGGGTGCAAAAAAAAAAAAAGCCAAGTGCTGCCGGACCCTAGGACCACTCCTGCATTCCATCCCAATTCTTTCTCTTGAATGATAGCTCCAATCCTCAGTGTGATGTTCAGCTCCCTAGTTGCCCACAAAGGCAGGACTTTCTCCCAACCCTCCCTTCTCATTATGGCTTCCTTTCTTATACCTATGACTTTCTAAGTGTGTCTCATCAGCCTCTACCTCAGGGGCTTCTGCAGGTTGGAGGGAAACTTGGTGATTTTTCCTTTTAAGGGTACATCCCTCATAGAGTGACCTCCTTTTAACTAGAATTGGATAAATATTATTCATTGTTCCCTTAATTATATTATGTTATTTACTGAGCTATTACAATTGATTTTGGTATAAATATTAAGTCAGTGATCTCCCTTTATCTGTCTTATAACCCATGTCCATTTCCATGAAGTTTTTATTCTAAAATGAAGTGGTTTGGGGATATACTGGCTTTAAACCATTGGATAGGCTGAGTAATAAGTGCAGAAGAAAAGTACACAATGTAGTTACCTACATATTCTCTAATTTCAATTATATATTTGTGTTCACAGGTCTACCTCTCTGAACACTAACAGGAGACGATATCTTTCTCCTTTGCATGAAGAGACATTTTTGTAATGTGTGCAGTTGCTGTTCCCAGACCTGGTGGGGAAGAAAATAATGGACATCATAGAAAGTTTTTTTTCCTTTTTGTTTTTGGAGTTGCATTGCTGTGCACTGGATTTCTGCTTTCAGTCTTTATTTTACAGACGTGCCCATCTGGAACCTTCAGTGATTGCAACAGAGCCCTTAAGATTGCTGGGCCTGTGGTTGTTGCTGTTGGATTAGTTTGTGTCCTACTGGCACAATCAAGAGCTAGGCTGTACCTAAGTCAGAGGCAGATGCAAGGTGAGCAGGTGTACAGGCTCATTTTTTGTCAAGGGAACTGTCAGTTTGCCCAGTTTCTTATCTTTGGGTTTTTGTTTTTAGCTAGTGGAGTGCTAATTAGTTTCCTGGGCATTTGGGTTCCTAGATGTAGCCCAGGAAGGCACAGCCTACAGTATAATCAAACCAGCACTTCTGATGTTGAACTCCCAGGCTGTGGATTTCTGCCTCTTCAAATCATGGGTCCTTTGATTGTGCTTATTGGATTAAGTTTCTTTGTAATAGCTCATATTAAAAAGAAAACCAATTTAAATCTCAGCCAAGAATCTTCTGAAAATGGAGAACAGCCTCAGAGTCCAGAATCACTTCAAGTTACAGCAGGTAGGTAAATGATTTGCATATACTTTTTAAATTTGAAAGCTAGTTTTACTAACCTGTACGCTAGTTCCTATTTTGTGTGGTTTAACATGCCAAATGAGAAACAAGTTGCCTTACATCGGAAACATTCACAGTGTAGTTAATTCAGTCATCTTTGTTCAGGGGCAAACTGCCTTTTGACTTACAAGAAACCTCCAAAGGCCAGGGCCGGCTCCAGGCACCAGCCTGGCAAGCAGGTGCTTGGGGCGGCTGCTCCGGAGAGGGGCGGCACGTCCAGCTATTCGGCGGCAATTCGGTGGACGGTCCCTGTCAAGGCTGTATCCCCACTTTGAACTTTAGGGTACAAATGTAGGGGCCTGCATGAAAACTTCTAAGCTTAACTACCAGCTTAGTTCTGGTTCGCTGCCACCATTCCCGTCCCTGGGAAGCTTTTAGAAACCTCTCACCAATTCCCTGGTGAATACAGATCCAAACCCCCTTGGATCTTAAAACAAGGAGAAATCAATCAGGTTCTTAAAAAGAAGGCTTTTAATTAAAGAAAAAGGTAAAAATCATCTCTGTAAAATCAGTATGGAAAATAACTTTACAGGGTAATCAAACTTAAAGAGCTCAGAGGACCCCCCCCCGTCTTAGGTTCAAAGTACAGCAAACAAAGATAAACACTCTGGTAAAAGGTACATTTACAAGTTGAGAAAACAAAGTAAAACTAAGACACCTTGCCTGGCTTTTTTACTTACAAGTTTGAAATATGAGAGACTTGTTTAGAAAGATGGGGAGAACCTGGATTGATGTCTGGTCCCTCTCAGTCCCAAGAGCGAACAACCCCTTAAACAAAAGCACAAACAAAAGCCTTCCCCCCCCCCCAAGATTTGAAAGTATCTTGTCCCCTTATTGGTCCTTTGGGTCAGGTGTCAGTCAGGTTACCCGAGCTTCTTAACCCTTTACAGGTAAAAGGACTTTGGAGTCTCTGGCCAGGAGGGATTTTAGTACTATACACAGAAGAGCTGTTACCCTTCCCTTTATAGTTATGACAGTCCCTCACTCCCGCTTGGAGCGAAGGACCTCCCGCCGAACTGCCGCCGCAGATCGCAATCGCGGCTTTTTTTTTTTTTTTTTTTTTTTTTTTTTTTT